CGGAGGAGCTTGGAAGAACAAGAGAAGAGAACCGGAACCGGCACGTGGCCAATGCTCTGTCCAAGTATTGCGCCTACTTGGTGGAGTCAGCTCCAGAGTTACTCCCTGGGCCGGCCCCGGAGACGAAGCGTGCATACGGTGAATTCAAGAAGGCGGCAAGGATGGCTCTGGGCAAGGATAAGGACAGCAGATGGTTCTTCTTCGGAAGAAGAAAAAAGAACAAGGACAGATTCCTTGGGGGGGCACTGTCAGACCCTGAAACTTGGAGAAATAGAAAATGGAATGGAGAGGACCACATGGATCCTAGATTTCGGGATGCCCTGGCTATGGCAGAGGAGCTTATGGGTGAGGGTGACGATGGTTCCCACCGTTCTGACCCCTGGGACACAGGTGCTTGCGTGGGTCCGCTTGTTGGTCTACGCGGCGCCGTATGGCAACGTGGAGATGCACATGCGGCGCCTCTCGCAGGGTGGCGAGTTCATCACCCACCTTTGGACCTTGCTCTACCACCTTGACATCCGCGAGTGGAAAGCTTCACCTAATCTGGAAAGCATCGCCACCATGGATGATGCTGAGGCGGTACTCGCCGAGGATAAAATCAACATGGCGGTTGTTGCCTTCATCAACTCTCCATCAGTATGAACCCGGCCCTTTCTTTCTTTCAGTTACTTTCTTCATATATATTAATTATTATCACTTCATTTCTAAATTATAAGACGTTTTGTCTTTTTAGATATATTGATTTTACTATCTATCTAAATTAGAACGGAGGGAGTACTTACTTAGTTATTCTGTAGTGGTAGCTGTTGTCTGTCGCATTTTTTTTAAGCTAGATGATGGCCTACGAGAGCAAGAAAGCAGCAGTACATGATGGAGACAATTTTAATTCCCGGAACTGTCTTTTTTTTTTTTGCCAAATGCTACAGGGGGTTTACAGTGATGAATTTGCTAATGCGTCAAAGCTGGAACGTGGTGTCAAATTTTACGAGACTTCAAGTCCTGATGTTGCTAAGCTTTTCCACATTGACCCTGAAGCAGGAAACAAGGCTCTAATCTTTCTGAACAAAAGGGCGGAGCAGAAGTTCACCTTATACGGTCCGTGTATTTATCTTGTATCTGATTTTTCCTCCACTTTTGGGCATGTTTTTGTTTACTGCAGGGTTGTATATGTAATGCAATGTGTGTATCTTGTAGAGGGGTTCTTCCTTGCATATAACATTGCCTATTTTGTGACAACTGCCATCAAGCTTCCTTTGGATAAGACACGAGCACAGGGAACTGCTCCTACTATCTTTGACAATGCCATCAAGAAAGAGGCATGTAACCTTGTTTACGATTGAATCTCTTTTTATGCAATTTCAGTATAATCTTTTTTGTCAATCTACTATTCCATTACTGAGCCACTTTGTGTATTTTTTGCAAACAGAGCTTGGAGGACGGAGGTCAGACCGAGGACCAAATCTCGGCGGATGAGCTAGCTTGAAGGGATAACCTCAATGCTGTCCTGAATCCTATTCTCCATACATATATACAGCATCTGGATGGCTCTGTACTTGTGCCTCCATCTCCTCTAGTCTTCTTTCATTCGTAGAATAAAGCCCTGGGAAATGCATGTTCCCAAGGGCATCCTACCCTTGTGAGATATGGAACCTCATCACCGTCTATTTATTATTTGTTGATGCGCAACATGTATTAAATTGGTTGGGGGATGAAATCATGAAACAGCTCCCCAATCTCATTGCTTCAGTACTGCAATGCAGTAATGCCATTATTCAAGCATTGCTATTCAAATTTTATGTTTTTTTCCATGAATGTGCCTTGGAACGATTTCCTTTAAGAGGATTAGAAAAAATTGTAGCATTCCTTTAAGGTCTTAGAAAAAATTGTTACAATACCTCTTTGGTAATCATACGGATTACCAGAGGGTTTTACTCCTACCTAACTAGGGCAAAGATAAGATAATTTACAGGAAGTTTTTTTTTTTTGAAGTGTTATTTACACGAAGGTTTCCTGACCCTGGGTAGTTAGGCTGTAGGCTGGTGTAGTGGATAGTTTAGTAGTCAAGTCAGAATCCAGGCGCGTTTGACAGCTTATGTAGGGTTTGTTGGGAAATCCTCCTCATGAGTGGACCATGTGGGGAGAGTAATTGCTCCTAGAGAGCCCACATGTCATAGGTGCAGCACAGGAAAGTGGACCAACTTATTATGTACATCTACCATTTGGTTCCTTGGCTTCTAGGAGAAGGGAGACACATCGATCTAGACAGTAGCCACGATAACCACTCATTCCTCCTCTTCGTGAAGACAAGGATATATATATATATATATATATATATATATATATATATATATATATATATATATATATATATATATATAGAGAGAGAGAGAGAGAGAGAGAGAGAGTGTGTGAAGACTAGCCACTCCTTGTGTGTGAGTGAAACCAGTATTCAGCCTTCTTCTGATGCATATGTGGCTGAAAAGAAAAAAGAAAATTATGGTCGAAGCGAAGTGAAATTTTAGCGATGCAGAAGTAAATATAGAGAGAGATCATAGCCAAGTTCAAGCAACAAGATTATTTGCTTTCATTGCGAAAAGGAATGCCAGGAAAGAAATCAGTGCAGAATTTATAAAAGAGAGCTTGCACAAATTGAGACCGACAAATTAGATGGGAATTGGTTATCCTTTTCTAAAAATCATCGAAGCATCAGATGTTTTCTTCCCTCCCTAGAGCCAGAGGTAGAATCGCATGGTTACAGATATATGGAGTGTGTTATGAAGTCGCACATTTGCGACATGGTACTGCGAACTAGTAGAGCAGGATAGCTTGATCAAGGCAGAGAAGCGAGGAGGAAGACGAGGGAGAACTGGAATCATCACGTGGCCAATGCTCTGTCCAAGTATTGCATCTACATTTCGGCTTATTCAGGAGCTTAGGCAAAATACATGAAACGTTTCTTAGCTAAAACATTTCGCTCATAACCCGTTTAGTGCCGTTCCACATGACTCTCGTGAGAATCGGAATCGATTCGATCAACCACATGGCTCCTATGTCTACAGGAACCAAGGTACATAGAGATGTAATATGTATACGATGGAGAAAGAAGATGCATAACAAAAAAAAAACCTGAAAACTACTCCCTCCGTTCCTGTATACCAGGCGCACAAGCCCCGATTACAGATACCAAGATGTACACGGAAATATGTGAAGTGCATTTACTACGTACGTCGTGATTAGCACCGCGCCGCCGGTCACGAAGCCATTCTTATCCCGCGCTAGCTTGCATGGAGTGAACTAGTACTAGCTTGCATGCAGCGACGTCCACGCTTTAGCTCCGGCCAGCTCACGCAGCATGCAGCATGCATCGCTTCTTTATATGACGTACGCCTCGGCATACATGCACCGCCCCGTATTGTTGGCTGTACGCCGGGTAAACAGGAACGGAGGGAGTATCTATTAGAAATATAATTTTATATATATTGCCTATATGTATAGAAATTATCACGTGATAATTTCTAGATTAGGCTACCCTTAGCGCGCTAAATGGGGGAGACTTAGCACCATTTTTTTTTTTTTTTGAGGGGAGAAGACTTAGCACCAGTTAAGCAGGGCAGTACGCAGACGGTCTGAAATTAACATGGGCTTCTCAAGATTCCATCACGGGGGGCCCAAAACAGGGACCGGAGTACAGCATTGCCGAAGCCTCTGACGTTCTCCTCGGCGGCTCCTCAACTCTGCTTGTCCCTCTGGACTCTTGTTCTTCTTCCCTTCAGATGTTGGCCTGTTGCCTCTTGGCGTTTCCAACCCCACTAGTGGAGGGGGAGACCGGCAGTGTGAGTATGCTGTCCGTGTCAGTCGTGTTCAAGCATTCAACAAACTGCTGCTGCGTTTATTTCGACTTGACTATTCAACTTAATTTGTACTGCTAGACTATTCAGCTGTAGTGTGATTCTCTGTTGACATACTAGTGATGATTATTTGATGCAAGAAACAGGGCAGAAACGTAGTAGAAACTACAACTTTCATGTCAAGTAGTTTGCCGGCCATGGGAAGAAAAGGTCCAATGCTTAGACCTCCACAATACCCATAGCCTGCTCCTGCTCGCAAAGATCTCGTGACTCGTGAGAACCAAACACTAGCGCTGGTTACCTGAGTGGGAGATTGTACGTGGAAGCTGTGGTTCCATTTTGTCTCAAAATTGTCAAGGTAACGACGAAGTCTCAACCGCCCAGAGGAAAGAGACGCCCCTCTGATTTCATCCTAAACAAGAGTACCTCATGCCTTCAAACCTGGGCTGCTTACAGGTGTTTCGTCGATGGGAGTTCATCGCTGCCGTCGCGCCATGACAAGCTTCGGTACTCAGGTAACTAAGATCTCATCTTTCTAACAAGCATGATGGGTAAACAATGGATGGCACAGATCGATGGGCAGGCAACTGCTCTACAGTTCTGAAGAAGCATCAATCTGTTTTTCGACATTTGACGATTCTTGTAGGACAGGACAATCATTTTCTTTTCATATTGTATATATCCTTTGACGGACATAGTTTAATGGCTTTTGCCTAACTTTTACTCACCATGCTTCTTGTTTTTGCAAAATTTGCACTCCTCATTGTGATTTTTTTCTGCCTTTCAGCTGTTAAACATGATAGAGATTATGGCAAAGTCTGGCCTTTGACGCTCCAAATAATTCATACAAACTAAGCAGGAATTTGTTGGTCTTTCATTACATCCCAGAATCATCAAGTTGTGCCATCCAACTGCAAGGGTTTTTCTTGGTCATAAAGTATGAAATCAGGGCCATGCAATACTTCAACATGTTGGCGGCCTTCCTTTTATTGCTTGCCTTCCCTTGTCACCCAACTGTTGATGGCCAGCTCTCTACTATAGCTCCCCCACGCTCTTGGGAAATTATCAGTATGCTAGCCATATCTATGAATGGAGAAAACACTAGTATGGCACCTGTCCTTGTAAATAGTACAGAATTATATATATAGGACCATGTTTGGCTTCTACACCACAGATGGAGGACATTCGTTTATCCTGTCTGTAGTGTTTTTGGGAGCCCCAGCTCCAGTCATCTGGTCTGCCAACCCCGATAATCCAGTAACCCGCAACGCCATCTTGAATTTCACCAGTGAAGGAGACTTGCTCCTACATGAAGCTGATGGCGCAATAATATGGACCACAGATACAAACAGCTTGTCAGTTGCAGGCATGAGACTGGATGATTTAGGAAACCTTGTGCTCTTCGATCAGAATAACACCACTGTGTGGCAGTCCTTCGACCATCCAACTGACACTTTGGTCTTGGGGCAATCACTTTGCAGGGGAAATAACCTCAGTGCAAAAACCTCAAGCACAAAATGGCCAGGTTCAAAAACCTCAGTGTGAATGGTACTCTTTCAAACCAGCAGCCTACACACAGTTATTCCAAGCTACTACAACATCAACCAACGCAACACAAACTTGTTATGCATTTGTCAATGGCAGCTTTGGGTTCCCATATAAGATCTTCTCAATACCGTTAGCAGGATCAGTGCAGTTGATGAGGTTAGAGTCCGATGGGCATTTGAGGGTTTATGAGATGGGGATATCTTACCCAGATGGGTTTGATGTACTAAGCAATTTCATGAACTTTTGCGACTACCCATTGGCCTGTGGTGACTTTGGTGTTTGCAGTAATGGACAATGTTCTTGTCCTAGTTCCAACTATTTTAGGCTCCAAAATGAACGGCATCCAGATGCTGGGTGCATACCCTTAGCAAGCATCTCCTGCGACGATATGCATGACCACAAGCTGATACCACTCAACAATGTCTCTTACTTCAGTTACACCACGTTCCAGTCATTAGCCACTCGAGTCAGCTCTGAAGGTGTCTGGCTGCATTCTTGCAATCTTGCTTATTGGATTGCTCCTGCAGAGTAGTTCTTTTTCAGAGTTCGAGTTACGGTGAGGATGCTGGTAACTGCTTGCTGTTATCAGAGCAGAACCTAATTTTGTTTACAGATGGTTCATCAAATGATCTTTTGGCACTGTTCAAGACACAGGACAAGCACTAAGTAAAAAGGAGGAACATTATTATTGGCTCCACAGTTGCAGGTTTTTCCATTACATCAATTTTTGTTTATGCTGTCATTTGGAAAAAAATGCAAGAAAGACGAGGAACCCCTGTTTGATGGCATACCAGGGATACCAAAGCGTTTCTCCTTTCATGAGTTGAAGGTCGCTACCAGCAACTTCTCTATGAAGCTTGGAGCTGGTGGTTTTGGGTCGGTTTTCAAAGGCACAATAGGCAAGGAAACCATTGCTGTGAAGCGCTTAGAGGGTGTCAATCAAGGAATGGAAGAGTTCTTAGCAGAGGTCAAGACAATTGGCAGAATCCATCAGCTGAACCTAGTCAGGTTGGTAGGATTCTGTGCTGAGAAATCACATAGGCTCCTTGTCTATGAGTACTTGTCCAATGGCTCATTGGATAATTGGATCTTTCATACGAGTTTAGTTTTCACTCTTTCTTGGAAAACCAGACGTAATGTCATGTTGGCCATTGCTAGGGGTTTGTCTTACCTCCATGAAGAATGTGAAGAAAAGATTGCTCATTTACATATCAAGCCACAGAATATTCTCCTGGATAACAAATTCAATGCAAAGCTCTCAGATTTCGGACTCTCGAAAATGATCAGCAGGGACCAGAGCAAAGTTATGACTCGAATGCGAGGAACCCGTGGATATCTAGCACCTGAGTGGCTGGGATCAACAATCACTGAAAAAGCAGACATCTACAGTTTTGGGATCGTGATGATCGAGAAAATCTGTGGTCGCCAAAACCTGGATGAATCCCAGCCAGAGCAGAGCATCCACTTGATAAGTCTGCTCCAGGAAAAGGCAAAGTCTGGCCAGCTATTTGATTTGGTGGACAGTAGCAGCGATGACATGAAATCCAATGTCGAGGAGATCATGCAAACGATGAAGCTTGCATTGTGGTGCTTGCAGGTTGATAGCAGCAGAAGGCCCTTGATGTCAACAGTTGCCAAGGTGCTGGAAGGAGCGGTGAGCATGGAGGCCACACCTGACTGCATTTTTGTCCCCAGTTTTGCATCAATTAATACTGATGTGGCAGGATCAATTTCCTCCTATGTATCATCTGAGTCGCAATTATCAGGGCCTAGGTGATAAAATAACTGTTTGCCATTGCTTCGGTTGCCCATTTTGATTTCAATGCAGCATCTGAGGAAATTAAGATCCAGTTATATTTGGATGCAGCAGAACCTGTTCTCTTGCACAAACCAATAGTAACAGTTGAGATTGATGCATTCTTTTCATGCTTTATGAAGAGAACAACAGTTTCACCATTGTTGTGATCGGGTTAGATGATGACAAGCTCGATCTATCTGGGCCCCTCTTTGGAACACACTGAGTTTCATGTATTTATTTATTTTCAATTGGCTTTAGCTTTGGCGTTCACCAACGTACAAGACGTTCTATGCTTGGGAACAATGTTAAGACATAACCTTATATAATGCAATACATTGGTGTCGTCTTATAGGCGGTCTCATATATTTTCATTCATAATTCCTTAATTACACATGTAAAATAGAATATTTTGAATGGAATTACAAATACAACTCGTAAAATGGAGCACTAGTAGTCTCAATCCAAAATTTTCAGCTCATGAGGTGGTAGTGTCTTGAAACAATGACATGTTTCTCACTTTCACCTTTCTTATTGAAAACTATAAAAGATATTGTGATATTGCATAAGCCAACTTATGAGATGGTTAACGTGTACTAATGTATTTGCGCCTTGGTACTGTCACACTTTTTTTACACATGGTACTGTCACACTTTTTATTTTTTTTTAAAGGACTACAAAAGCTTTGTCGCAAGTTTTGTTATTAGAATGATTAGTCTTTGGGAATTCTGTGTGTAAGCAGTCAGCGTGATTCAGCTTTGGCCGTTGGGCAGTGAACACTGAGCAGTTCTATTTTTTAATGAAAAGGAAAGTTGGCAGTGATTAGTACAAGTATTTGAGTGACAGTCTTACCTTTGATCATGGAGCATTATACTTGAGTTGTTTTTTTAAACGTAATTATTATACTTGAGTTGTGAACTGAGTGAACTTCAGCTGGCTGTCCTTCTAGATCAAGTCTTATACTTAGCACGAGTGCTTGTATCTACAGCCCTTTATTGGATAGGTAATGTGTCCGTTGTTTTTATTGTGTAGGCGCTTGTTGAAGTAAGGTATGCGTGTGTTTATATGGGTAAGTATATGTTGGTTATAAGTCTGCCTATATAACACCCTAAAGGACTGTATATTTATAATATCGTAGTCCTGGAAGGTAAAAAACTACAGTTTTACTCCTTTGCAGGCGACTGATAACCTGCATAACCGTCAATCACCCACGTCCGCCCCCACGCCTAGTGCACTGTTCATCTTTCCCACCGCGACGCCCACCCCCTTCTTCCCCAACTCCAGCGGGCTTAGAAGAGAAGGGGGCTGGCGGGAGGAAGGCCGGCCAGGCGGTGGGGACGGCGGCAGGGTGGTTTAGGGGCCTAGCGGCGGTGGAGGCAGCCGGGCCAGGTCAGGGCGGGAGAGCTCCATGGCCAGAGCTCACCGCAAAAGAAGAAGGGGGGAGGGGAAGAAGGCGGCCGGACGCGCGAGGACGAGGAGGCGGCGGGGGCGAGGACGAGGAGGGATGCGAGGAAGAAGAGGGACGGGAGGTTGTAGATGACGGATGGAAATACAAATCCTCAGTCGACTGTTGCGGAAACAGACAAAAAAAACTAATGCCACACCGCCGGTGATTCTTAATCTACAGCCCATGGTTGTACTGTTGTAAAGAAATCTGCACACCTTCTTGCACATATTGATGGCAGTGTTGGACTCTTTTATAGTTTTGTCTTCCCTTTGTCTTGCAGCAACACTAGAACATCTGCCGTCCTTCGGGCGCCCTGCCCGTGATTTGAAGAATAAAAGATAGTTTATGCTTGGGAGACATGCGACGTAATAACAGCTCTTGAAAAGGCTATTTTATTAATAAATAACTGTATATAACCATATATACTTTGCGGCTACAATCAACTAAGCTGGAACCATCTAATAATATTCTGAAAAATGCATAAGGATTGTCGAATAAATATGTCTAATTTTGCAATCTTCTCTCAAGGCTCATTCAACAGGCAACGCTCATTCCACGGAATCTCGTTACTTCTTCACTTTTCATCTCTGTCCTTTCGGCCATGCAAGAACTGATCATTTCCAACTACCTAAAATTTGGTCTATATGTTTTAATCATAAAAAAATTATCATAAGAAATCGTTAAAACACTAAGCCATTGGATGCATATATACACTTAATTGACATCTCAACATTTCCCTATGCATTTCCCTGTGCAGAATGAAGAATCTTCCGCAATTAAGAAATTGTAATCTGGAGATCCTTCAGTATGCTGCGAATAGCGAAAATCCTAATTTAGTTTTGTTAATTGAGTGACAACTAGTGTACTATCAAGGGCCTAAGTGTTTTGATAAGCTAGGTCTAGTACACGCCAAGAGTTGAGCAAGGAAATGCTACCATGGAGGAGATTTTGTAGGCCAAGATGGTGGTGTATTTGATTAAAAAAACATGAAAACAATAAAAGGCCGAGAACACATCAAAATGCAAATGAAGTATTTGATAAAAAAACATGAAAACAATATAACACATAAATAAAGTTTCGGTGTAATTTATCGGATGTCTCCGAAGAGACAGTTTCGGTGTAATTTATGATGACCCTAATGGCTATTTTTTCATGATCACAATGCTACATCGATCTCATGACCCAAGCCCAGCGCTGGGGTCAAAGGTGAAGGCCGAGCCTGAGCCCTGAGCCGAACAACTATTTTCTCCTCACCAGGCTAGGCCTTTTTTAGGCTCCAGTGTCCAAATGGCAAAACTGGGGAGCTTGAGCCCGTCCGATTTTGTTGGTCGGGCTGAAATTCGAGTTATGAGCACGCCCAGTTCGTTGGTTGGGCTTGGCCGTATCGAATTTTTGGGGCCGGGTCAGGTTTATAGGGCTGTGTTTCCCATGATGGTCAAGTCTACAAACGATACATGGTTGACACGTGGGCCCAAGGAAACCACTAGATCCTCGATGGTAATGGAAAGCGACAAAACTTTTTAAGCTAAAATCCAGTAAAAAATTTGCATTAAAAACTCTACCCAAATATAAGGAATTCTAGGGACAAAATCTACTTTGCATTAAATATTAGCATAAATTTTATATGTGCTATATCTATATTAATGACGCTAATAACAGCGTCATATTAGAAAATGAAGTGAGGGTATATACATTTTGTATTCTCTCTTGATATGTCCTAAAATATCTAGAATAACTATATTACAGGACAGAGTGACTATAGTGCAATAAACAGTGCTTAAGGTGACAATTATATGGCTTCAAAACATGCTGTTTCGTGTAATTAAATAAAAAATATTTACACCTTTGTGGAGCATATAGGCAAAAAAAAAAGGCATGCATTCTTGTCAGAAAGGGAGGGGGAAGACCGAGACATATCCCCTCTGTCCCTAAATATGTCGTTTTCGCTTCTCGATAAACAACTTTGACTAAATATATATAAAAAAAATAGTAATATTAATAGTACATAATTAGTATCATTAGAAAGATCTTTGAATCTAGTTTTTTAATAAATTTATTTGGAGATACAAATGTTGCACGTATTTTCTACAAATCGAGTCAAACTTGTGGCACGTACACCAACGGCGACAGTTATTTAGAGACGGAGGGAGTACTTATCGGATAGATGGGTGCCTTGCAATGAACAAAGGCCTTTGTTGTATTATTATTTGCAGGCACGATGTCATGTTTTTTTGTTAGTTGAAGAAAGAATAGGTTGCTGTGAGTCTTATGGAACACTTAATTATCTAGCCTTTGATGCAGCATCTCACTTGACCTTTATTCAGAAATAAGAAAGTGATCCAGAAAATTAAAGTTATCAGTTTATCACACACTATAAATTGCAGCCATTGTCATGAACCTGCAGGCAACAACGAACATGACATGCGTACCACCCAGCTGTTTTTTTATTTGGTCCGTGATGCCATTGCCATCGTCAACGGAAAAAAAAAACTAAAGGTACTACTACTAGTAAACAAAAAGAATACAAAGCGTACTTTCCTGAGCTAATCAAACAATCTCTCATTGGCTTCTCTCAGTTAAATGATGTGATGGTTGGCATTGACACGAGATGCAATGGTCGTAAAGATTCCAGAAAGCAGGCTTGGTGTCGGGAAGCAATTATAAGTTTTATTAGTGGCCCAGAACTCATTGCCACTCAATCTGTCTAAACTAAACTCATACTAGAAATACATTTCTTTAGGCCAGAGAGTACCTTTCAGTAGTAAGAACCGGGCCGTTTCATTATGTATATATGCTCCACACGTAAGGACTTCTTTATTTCTATATATATTCTCTATTATAGTTTTTTTTTAAGAATTACACAGTACAATACAGATGAGAATTTTTTCTTTAGCTAGACATGATGCACTGACAGATTAGGTCGAGCTATTTCTTAACATCTCTACATTTTCGGACGGGTAGGTCGGTGACCACAATGAACGGGTTTAGGGCTCGTTTGGATGGCGCCCTGGGAGGCAGGTGCCTTCCAGTCAACCGATCCTATCGGACGCCTGGGAGCCTTGCCTGGGTGCTTAGCTGCCTGCGCGTAGCGGGCTATCTGGCCCCAGACATGACGTGCCGGTTGCCACCCGCGGTGCCCCTCCCAGGCTCCCCTGTTCGAGGAAAGCGGCCAGGAAACGTGCGGAAATCTTGGCGCTGAAGAGCGGCCACGGCGTCTGCCTGGGGCCGCGCGGAAATGGACGCCGCGCGCGCAGCCGGTGCCGCGACCGCGCTGGACCGCTGTCCGCTGGGAGAGAGCTAGTCGGCGGCGACAAGGACAGGTGGAAAAGATCGCGTCGCCCCGTCAAAATCAGCTGTGTGTCTGCTGTATTCAGACACATGCGCCACGACGTGGTGGACACTGCTGGCTCACTGGACAGCAGCACAGCACAACACCGGATGGCGGAAGCTAGCTAGCAGTAGCAGTCTAGGCTCTAGCAGAGTGCGACGCATCTCGTTGGCTTCTCCGCCGACTACGGTGGATCGGCGGATCTGC